GTATATAATATAAAAATTAATATTAATTTTAATATTAATATTAAATAAATAAATTTAATTAAAATTAATAAATTAAAATTTAATATTTTTTTAATATAAATTTATTATAAACAATATTTACCACTCACATGTAACATGTACTTTAAAAGTACATGTTAGATAACCTTTTGATTAATTAATGAAAAGCTTAATAAGTGCGCCCACTAAATACGTTATTAAGGTGTCATGATATGACTGATGACTTGGCTTTTTCATTTTTTTTGTTTTTACTACCAAAAAAGCTCATCGGGGAGGACATATAATTGCATGTCGGTAAAACCGGTAATAGTTTCAGTTTTTTATTATTATTTATATTTTATAAATTTAAATATTTTTTAAAAATTTATATTTTTTAATTTTAAAAAGATTTTAAATTTTAAAAAATTTTAAATTTATGTTTTTTATAAATTTATTTATTTATTTTTTACTCACTTTTTTTCTATTTTTAAAAATAACTTTAAAATTTTTTCTTTAATAAAAATTTAATTTATCATTCACAAACAATACAAAAAAATAAAAATAAAAACTCTCATAAATTTTACTAAATATACTCTAAGTTTTGGTCTAAATAAGCATTACTTCAGCCCCCAATGGGTATCAACATGATTTTACAGGGTGATCGTACTGAAACTATATTCGTTAGAAATTAAGTTTTTAATAGCTTCTGATATACTAAAAAAAACACACACACAAGTTTTACTCCATAGTTGTATTATCCATGTCAATAAAACAAATATAAAACATCTCGCATCCACTGAGTTACTGGGCCTAATTGATGGAGGGCGAAAATTGTCATTTTGTAGAGTTATAAAACCAAAAAAATTGCTTAAAATACTTGAGTAACAAAAATTGTTCAAAATTTAAAATTAAGAGATTAAAATTAACATTAATTTTGAAAAAAATTACTTTTTTTATACTCCATTAAATTGCTAATAAATTGAAAATTTTTAATTTTATTAATAAATTTACCCATTATAATTTTTCATTTTTTTTACAAACTCACAATCTTTAATTACTAATTATATAATTGGTTTTATCTTCATTTTTCTCTCTTTAATAATATTAAATTATTATTAT